TAAAATTCTTGGAATCAGCGCTTGAAAATGCAAATAACGTACATCACTTCTTCAATACTCGCCACTTGAAAAATTACCTTCTCTTGTAAGTCACTACACGTTTAATACACATTTGTTTGTTATTGTAATTGCGCGCTGTAAGTTGATGCCCCGGGAAAAATGGCACGGATAGCTGTGAAACTATTTCCTTGTCAAGTGGACAGTACCCCTCAATTATTTTTGAAAAGCAATATGTGATATCTAAATTCAATGTGATGCGATGTTCAGTTACAGCGTATGCAAAGCATTTATATCTTAAGGCCAATATTTGTTTCTAAACTTACGATTACAATCCAAAACCATAGAAACAAGAAAAGCTTCTCGTTGATATAATTAAGAGGGATCATGCACTGGATGGAACTGATATGAACGTTGTTATTGTTTTCCATCTAAAAAGGATAAAAACTTGATAGAAGGCATTAGGTAGCAAAAAATAGCACGGGCACCACTTATCTTCGTGTAATTACAGCCAACTTCGAGAGGAAAATAAGGAAAATGCGACAATCCTCCGTGATTGGGTATGCGTACACCACCAATCATACGAGGGAAGGACTTTTTTGATAGGAAAGCAATCATCATCTAGAAGAAAAATTCATTGAGATTACATAATCAAGAATAGAAGTAATGAGTGATACACTTGCCCTAACGCCCCAATGCATATCAGGGAATCCAAGGAAATATGTCGTAAGATAGAGCTGGATCACGGCATTCAAAAGATAGAAGAATTTTGTGCAAGCATAGAATATCGTTGCTATCGCAGGTAGACGGAAAACAGAGGAAATCACACCACGCTAAACAAATATTTCTAACTGGGATAATATTTCCAATGAGTTTATGTTTAAAAGAATTGTAAGTCATACCCTTGCGATCTTCCTGTAGTAAAAATAGCTAAAGATGTAGTCGGAGATATTGCTTAGCTTACTAGCACGATTACTGGCACGCTTCTCACGCTGCAGCTCTGCACTTTCAGTTACAATCATAGCCATATCGATGTCTAAAAATTTTGAACTTCTATATGCTGATGGTCTTACATGAGTACACAGTATTCTTACAGAGGTATGATTGTATGTAAACCCAGAAGAAGTCTGGCAACATAAAGCAGAGGAGTTGAAACGCGAAGAAAAAGGGAACCCACTATAAAAGGTCAGTTTAAACTGCGTGAAAACTAAGTCTGCAGTATCACCAAAAGAAAAACAAAGATTTCATAGAAGAAATTAAAACAGAAAATAGGACTTCGCGCAAATCGTTTTCATAGAAATTACCTTCCCCTTTGAAACAAAAAAAAAAACACCAGGAATAAAACAAGAAAAGGTTGAACTTCCTAAAATTTATCAGAATACCTGATAGTACTTCACTCCGATGTATTTCGTATCATGAGGATCTCTTCCATTCAACCCGGGTGTCATCGAATAACCAGGATGGCTGGTAGCATTGTATCCAAGCTCGTAACGGTAAGTACCTTGCATGAAGCAGTAATCAAGGATATACGCCTGCCATGTTCGCACCTCTAAAGCCCAAAGTTGCGGAGGAAAAAGAGATTCTAGATTTGATAAGAAATACTGACTATCAACCTCCGCTGAAATGAAGCAGTCAATTGGATTTCCAAAGTGCTGTTTTGAGCCGACAAGCAGGGCAAACACGCAAAGGATGTAGACTGAAATGCGTCAGATAGCAGCTTGTAGATGTAAATTTTTTCCCAGATGTTCAATTTGTCTTTTGAGATAAATGTTCACCAAAGGAAAACCAGTAATGGAAATAAATGCAACGGTGACAAAGCAAATGAAAACGAGTAACAGTAGATTAAATCAAAACAAGATATTTTTGAACTATTCTGGATTAAATTAAATTTTAAATTAGTAAAATTGCTAAACTTCGTTACTTTTTCTAGAAGGTCTAATCACATAATTCGGGATTAGCAAAATATCTCTAGAAAATTTCACGGATTAGATGACCGCAACAATTGCACCGCTTAAAGTTTCATGTGTTTGTACTTGTCACTTTAAAAAAAATAAGAGGAAGTTTCGTATTGTTTCTTCTCATATTCTCGTCAAACATTGAAGATTCGTTAACGTTATGATGTTAGCAACTTTTAGGACGCAATAGATTTACGAATTGGACACCATTACTACAAGATTTTTCTACGATATTAGACAAACCCCGCACGTAACTTCAAAAAACTTCATTAGTATGTGATTGAGGATCAGGTGGACAGTGTCTACATTATGCACAAGTAAGATACACTTTTTAGCCTCTCACTAAACCTCCAGTCATTTTACTATTAGAAGTTGCTGAAAAGGTTACGATACTACGATGCCCATAACTAATAATATCGGGTGAACCCGCCTGTCACGTAGTAATGCATACGATCCACATAATCCTCCAACGGTTGCTTATGAGCTCCTCTTCCACGACCTTTTACGATATCGCCAAGCAATGGGATGTTGAGG